TCCCCTTGCGCAGCAAGGGTGCGGTCACTGAGGTGCTGATCGACTGGATCCGCGAGGCTCGTCTCCAGCTCAGGAAGAGCTTCGGCTCAGACTTTCCTGTTCTGCGTCTGCACTCGGACAGAGGCGGAGAGTTCTCCTCTCGCCTTCTGCGAGACTACTGTAGTGCACGGGGGATCCGCCAGACCTTCACGCTTCCGGACTCTCCACAGCAAAATGGGATTGCTGAGCGCCGCATTGGCATGGTCATGGATGTCGCTCGTACGTCCATGATGCATGCGGCTGCCCCCCATTTTCTGTGGCCGTTTGCGGTGAGGTACGCGGCGCATCAGCTCAACCTTCACCCCAGGGTCTCTCGGCCCGCGATGTCCCCAGTCTTGCTGTGGACGGGGAAGGTTGGCGATGCGTCGGCGTTCCGTGTCTGGGGATCTCGGGCGTTTGTCCGCGACTTGTCTGCGGACAAGCTGTCCCTTCGTGTTGCTCCCTGTGTCTTCCTTGGCTTCCCCACTGACGCTCCAGGGTGGCAGTTTTACCACCCCTCCTCTCGTCGTGTTCTGTCCTCCCAGGACGTCACGTTCGACGAGTCCGTCCCCTTCTACCGCCTCTTCCCCTACCGCACTCCTTCTCTCCCCCCTCCGCCGGACTTCCTTGTGCCGGTTCCCCCCCCGGTAGACCCCCTCCTCCCTCAGGTTCCTGCCCCCTCAGGTGTGTCCCAGGTAGACGCAGTTGACCCGGTCGAGGTTACTGGTGACTCTGGTGCTGCTGCGGGTGCTGAGCCTAGGGGTGCTGACTCTGGGGGTGCTGTGCGCCGGGGTGCCGGGCCTGGTGGTGCTGCTGCTGGGGGTGCTGAGCCTGGGGGTGCTAGGCCTGGGGGTGCTACTGCGGAGGGTGCTAAGCCTGGGGGTGCTGAGCCGGGGGGTGCTGTGCCTGGAGCTGCTGAGCTAGGGGGTGCTGAGTCTGGCGGTGCTGAGTTGGGAGGTGCTGAGTCTGGAGCTGCTGAGCCTGGGGTTTCTCCTGCTGCTGCGTCTAGACGGGAGCCCCTCTCTCCACAGGAGCTGCGCGAGTGGTTTGCTCGCCGCTGGAGACGTGCTGCAGGAGCTGGAGCTTCTTCGACCGTCGAGGGTGCTGGTGCTGCTGGTCCTGGAGCTGCTGGGCCTGCGGGTCCTACTGGAGCTGGAGCTGCTGAGGGTGTTGGTGCTGAGACTAATGTTGTCTGTCCTGGCGGTGGTTCTGCTGCTGGCGCTACTGGAGGTCCTGCCGCTGGAGGTGTTGGTGGCGCTGGTGCTGCCGCTGAGGGTGCTGGTGCTGTCCCTGCTGAGTCTGGAGCTGCCGCGCGGCCTCGGCCGTACTTCGTTCCGCTCCTGCAGCAAGTTCTTGGTCTTTCTCCTCCGGTAGAGTGTCCACAGCCTGTCCAGTCGCAGTCACTGTTGGAGCCTTCCTCTCCTCTCCCTGCTCCCTCTCCTTACACTGGTCCTACTGGAGGTCTTGCTGAGCGTCGTGAGCCTGCGTCTCGTCCCGCGTCGCCTGTTCGTGCTGCTCGCGCTAGTGGTTGCGGTTCGCGTCAGCGTCCTCCTGTCCCTGGCATGCACCGGATGTCTCTGCGTCCGTCCACTGCTCCTCTGCGTGCCCCTTTGCCTTCTCCTCCTTAGTCCTCTCTTCCTGCGCTTGCCGACCCTGAGTCGGACTCTCTTCGTGCTGCCAGTCCTACTCTCACGCGTCTGCTTGCTACTGTCGTCACTGACCCCTCTTTTGAGTCCACTGCTGCGTCTGCTCTTGTCGCTGAGCTCGTCGACTTTGCTGCTCGCTGTCGTCTCGACTACGCTGCTAGTCTTGTTGCTGAGTCTGCAAGGCGCGGTACGTTGCTCGTGGCTTCAGTCAGCGACAGGGAGTTGACTACTTTCAGACCTTCTCTCCCACCCCGAAGATGACCACTCTTCGGGTGCTGCTGCACATAGCCGCTCAGCGCGACTACGAGCTTCACTCTCTCGACTTCAGCACTGCGTTCCTGCAGGGTAGCCTGCACGAGGAGATCTGGCTGCGCCGTCCACCTGGCTTCACTGGGACTTTCCCTCCTGGCACCCAGTGGAGCCTCCGACGGCCAGTCTACGGTCTCTGCCAGGCACCACGTGAGTGGCACGACACACTGAGGACTACGCTTGCGGCTCTTGGGTTTGCTCCTTCTACTGCTGACCCGTCGCTATTTCTGCGCACCGACACTTCACTGCCGCCGTTCTACATCCTCGTGTACGTCAACGACTTGGTCTTTGCCACAGCGGACACTGCTGGACTCGCCTACGTGAAGTCCGAGCTGCTGAAGAAACACACATGCACAGACCTGGGTGAACTGCGCAGCTACCTTGGCTTGCAGATCACTCGGGACAGAGCACGCCGCACCATCACCTTGACTCAGTCACACATGGTGCAGCAGGTCCTTCAGCGCTTCGGCTTCACGTACTCCTCGCCTCAGGCCACTCCTCTGTCTACTCGCCACTCACTCTCAGCTCTGCCTTCGGATGAGTCCGTAGAGTCGAGTGGCCCGTACCCAGAGCTTGTTGGCTGCCTCATGTACCTGATGACCTGCACAGGACCTGACCTTGCATACCCTCTGAGCATTCTTGCACGCTATGTTGCTCCTGGGAGACACCGACCAGAGCACATGGCTGCAGCGAAGAGGGTATTGCGCTACCTGTGCAGTACATCGGGCATGGGGCTAGTGCTTGGAGGGCGGAGTCCAGTGGTCCTTACAGGCCACGCGGACGCTTCTTGGGCTGACGACCAGGCTACGCAGCGGTCGTCACAGGGTTACACCTTCAGTCTTGGTTCCGGCTCTGTCTCGTGGCGGTCTACTCGTTCGTCTTCGGTTCTCGGCTCCAGTTGTGAGGCTGAGATCTACGCCGGGGCCATGGCTGCACAGGAGCTTCGCTGGCTCACCTACCTGCTGACTGACCTTGGAGAGCCGCCTCGTTCTCCTCTAGTGCTGTACGTAGACAACAAGGCCATGCTGGCCTTGTGTCGAGAGCAGCGCTTGGAGCACAGAACGAAGCACATTGCTCTCCGCTACTTCCTTGCTCGTGAGCTGCAGCAGCGTGGTCAGTTGCGACTTGCGTACGTGGCCTCTGAGGCCAACACTGCTGATGTGTTCACCAAGGCACTCGCGCCTTGTGACCATCAGCGCTTCTGCACCCAGCTGGGTCTTGTGCCTGTCTTTCCTCACTTGCTCTCCTCTTGACTTTACTTGTACTGTGACATATATATACCTGCTCTTGCTTGTCTAGTCTTATATATATGTCTGTACTCAGATTACTATAGCTGATGCATGTTTGTAGGCTATAGTGGGGTAGCACATATGGGGTACAGCTTTCTAGGGTTGTATTTGTACCCAACCCTGACTTAGTCATTTCATTCCTGTTCACTTACTTCACAACATATGGGGTACAGCTTTCTAGAGTTTGTATTTGTACCCAACTTTCACTTAGTCATTTTCATTCCTGTTCATTATTCTCACATGGTATAGAGCGGGTTCCCTGTGGGAACTTCGCCTAGGGCCCACCGAAGCGCGCCCCGAGGCGCGCATTTTTTTTTAGCGACCCCTCGAGTCGCCCTTTCCCTCGCGGCCCCGCTGTCCCTCAGACGCGGCCCCGCCACCCTTCCTGGCGGCCCCGCCTTCACTTCGCGGCCCCGCCGTCCAGTTGCGGCCCCGCCGTCTGATCGCGGCCCCGCCACCCGATCGCGACTCCGCCACCCCGTTGCGGCCCCGCCGCCCCGTCGCGGCCCCGCCGCCTCTGATCACGCGGCCCCGCCGCTCCTGCTACGCCGGCCCCGCCGCCCCTGCTACGCGGCCCCGCCACCCGATCGCGGCCCCGCCGCCCCGTCGCGGCCCCGCCGCCTCTGATCACGCGGCCCCGCCGCCCCTGCTACGCCGGCCCCGCCGCCCCTGCTACGCTGCCCCGCCACCCGATCGCGGCCCCGCCGCCCCGTCGCGGCCCCGCCGCCCCGTCGCGGCCCCGCCGCCTCTTATCACGCGGCCCCGCCGCCCCTGCTACGCGGCCCTCGCCGCCTTGCTCACACGGCCCCGCTGCCCCTATTACGCAGCCCCGCCGCCCCTGCTACTCCGGCCCCGCCGTCCCTGCTACGCCGGCCCCGCCGTCCCTGCAACGCGGCCCCGCCACCCCTGCTACGCCGGCCCCGCCGCCCCTGGTCTCGCGGCCCCGCCGCCCTACCTGCAGCAGCCGAGCCGCCCACCTGCAGCAGCCGAGCAGCAGTGCAGCCGAGCCGCCCCGCACCCGAGCCGCCCGGCACCCGAGCAGCCCTGCCGCCGAGCCGCCCTGCACCCGAGCCGCCCAACAGCCGAGCCGCCCTGCACCCGAGCCGCCGGGCACCCGAGCCGCCCTGCCACCGAGCCGCCCGGAAGCCGAGCCGCCCAGTAGCCGAGTCGCTGAGTCGCCGAGCCGCCCTTCTGCAGAGCTGCCCGACCTGCCCTGCCCGGTGAGCACAGTACCGCTGTCACTGCGTCCACCTCCCCTACTGCTTGCACTGCTTCGCTGTCGTCGTCATGGCTACCCCTAGTGTCCTAGCTTTTGACGCTGAGGGTCGCGCCATTGACTTTGAGGTCTGGGTAGACGACCTGCAGTTGTTTTTACAGTGCGATAGGGCAGACGGCCTCTCACTCTTTGACCTCACTTCTGGCGCCTCTCCTGCCCCTGCTGCTGATGCTGATCCCACTGTGCGCTCTCAGTGGGCCACCCGCGATGCTGCTGCACGTCTTGCTGTGCGTCGCCACCTCCCTACCTCTGAGCGCGCGCACTTTAGTCGGTAAGATTGCTCAGACCTTGTACGACGCTGTAGTTGCGCGCTACTCCTCCCCTGTGTCAAAGTTTGAAGAAAGAAAGAGGATTGAACTAGCAAACCCTAGAAGGGTTGTACTCGCTATAGAGCACCCCACTACAGGCTAGAACAATAAGATAATATTCTGACACCCTGCCACTGCTGCATTGAGCCGTCTCATGCTTCCCTACCTCTTTCCTGACCTCTCTGCCTTTCCCACTGTCGCTGACCTCATTACGCACCTCCGCACTAGTGACACTCGCTACCGCGCCGCCCTTCCTGCTGAGTCCTGCGCTAAGAACCCCCCCCCTATGTACATCACTCTCTACTATGTAGTCGCACGCCTCCCTGACTCCCTCCGCGTAGTCAGGGACCACTTTCTCGCAGTCTGTCCCACCACCCTCACCGTCGACAACATCGAGAAGGCCCTCCTTGCGGCGGAGAAGAGCATCGTCGCTGTCGGAGCTTCTCGTGGTGACCCTCGCACCCCCATCTTTGAGGGGTGCTCTCCTTCCCCCCTGCTGCCCTCTGTTGCCTCTGCTGCTGCTGCCGACCTGCTTGGTCTTGAGTCGGTCGGCGCGGCGTCTGCCCCTAGTGGGAGACGCCGCTCTGGCAAGGGCAAGGGGGGCAAGGGCGCGGGTGGAGCTGGAGGGGGCGGTGGAGGTGGCGGTGGAGGCGGCGGCGGGAGTGGGGGTGGCGGCGGGAGTGGTGGCGGGGGTGGTGGTGGTAGTGGCAGCGGCGGCGGAGGCGGCGGTGGTGGCGGCAGCGGTGGTGGTGGTGGCAGCGGTGGAGGTGGAGGCGGCGGAGGAGGCGGAGGAGGAGGCGGTGGTGGCGGAGGGGGTGGAGCTGGTCGGGGTGGTACCCAGTAGAGGAGCGGCGGTGGTGGTGGTCAACGCCCGCAGCAGCAGCAGCAGCAGCGTTCGCGAGACATCCCTCCGCCCCAGCAGCTTCGTGAGTGGTACACTCGGCGTCAGAGGGGTGGGGGTGTAGGTCCGTGTGCCCACGTCCTTCGTTCCGGCGACCGCGCGGGTGAGCAGTGTGGGGGTGCCCACCCCACCCAGCGCTGCTTTGGCCGCCTGACGGACGCCTGGCGTCAGCAGTTCCCCGAGGCTAGTGAGATTCCCCGCTGGGATGAGCTTCTTAGGGCTGGTGTAGCGATCTTTGATCTTGACTATGATGCTATCCTTGCTGCTATGTATGTTGTGACTATTAGTGAGGAGGGTGACTGTTACCGGTGTTTCCCGCCCGACCCGCGCATTGGTACTGCTGCGCTAGGTGCTTGTGAGGCTGCTGCTCTAGGTGCCAGTGCGTCTGCGCTCTCAGGTACTGGTGAGACTGCGCTCTCAGGTACTGCGTCGCCTTCTTCCTCCCTCACTTTCACACTTGACTCTGGGGCTTCTCGCTCCTTCTTTCGAGACCGCACCACCCTCACGCTGCTTGGCCGGCCGGTTGCGGTCTCCCTGGCTGACCCCTCAGGGGGTCGTGTCCTCTCTCACTTCTCCACTGTCCTCCCGTGTCCGGCTGCCCCTTCAGGCACCCTGTCTGGGGTGTACCTTCCCTCGTTCTCTACGAACTTGGTGAGTGGTGCGGACCTGCAGGATGCGGGGGTTCACCAGTTCACTCCTGCGAGTCAGCGGGTGACCCACTGCACGGACGCACGCACAGGCCGGCACCTGGCCACGTTCTCGCGTCGGCCGGGGTCGAGCCTCTATACCCTGACCACTACGTCTCCTCCTGTCCCTGCGTCTGGTCAGGTAGCTGCGTCAGGTCAGGTGCTTGCTGCTGCGTCCCCGTCAAGTCCTGAGTCTGCCCCCGGTTCTTGTCGCCTCCTGTCTCACGAGACTCTCCTGTGGCACCACCGTCTTGGCCACCCCTCCTTGCCCCGTCTTCGGAGCATGGCTTCCCGTGTCCTTGTCTCTGGTCTTCCCCGGTCTCTCCCTCCCCTTCCCTCCGGGCCAGGACCTTCCTGTGTCCCCTGTGTCGAGGGGCGCCTCCGGGCTGCTCCTCACTCCTCCCAGTTCCCCCCGACAGAGGCTCCTCTGCAGACGCTTCACATGGACGTGTGGGGCCCAGCCCCCGTCCGTGGGCAGGGTCACGAGCGCTACTTCCTGTTGGTGGTTGACAACTACTCGCGTTACACCACAGTCCTCCCCTTGCGCAGCAAGGGTGCTGTCACTGAGGTGCTGATCGACTGGATCCGCGAGGCTCGTCTCCAGCTCAGGAAGAGCTTCGGCTCGGACTTTCCTATTCTGTGTCTGCACTCGGACAGAGGCGGGGAGTTCTCCTCTCGCCTTCTGCGAGACTACTGACGTGCACGGGGGATCCGCCAGACCTTCACGCTTCCGGACTCTCCACGGAAAAATGGGATTGCTGAGCGCCGCATGGCATGTTCATGGATGTCGCTCGTACGTCCATGATGCATGCGGCTGCCCCCCATTTTCTGTGGCCGTTTGTAGTGAGGTACGCGGCGCATTAGCTCAACCTTCACCCCAGGGTCTCTCGGCCTGCGATGTCCCCAGTCTTGCTGTGGACGGGGAAGGTTGGCGATGCGTCGGCGTTCCGTGTCTGGGGATCTCGGGCGTTTGTCCGTGACTTGTCTGCGGACAAACTGTCCCCTCGTGCTGCTCCCTGTGTCTTCCTTGGCTTCCCCACTGACGCTCCGGGGTGGCAGTTTTACCACCCCTCCTCTCGTTGTGTTCTGTCCTCCCAGGACGTCACGTTCGACGAGTCAGTCCCCTTCTACCGCCTCTTCCCCTACCGCACTCCTTCCCTTCCCCCGCCGCCGGACTTCCTTGTCCCGGTTCCCCCCCCGGTAGACCCCCTCCCCCCTCAGGTTGCTGCCCCCTCAGGTGTGTCCCAGGTAGACGCAGTTGACCCGGTCGAGGTTACTGGTGACTCTGGTGCTGCTGCGGGTGCTGAGCCTGGGGGTGCTGACTGTGGGGGTGTTGTACGCGGGGGTGCCGAGCCTGGGGGTGCTGCTACTAGGGTTGCTGAGCCTGGGGGTGCTGGGCCTGGGGGTGCTACTGCGGAGGGTGCTGAGCCTGGGGGTGCTACTCCGGAGGGTGCTGTGTCTGGAGCTGCTGAGCCTGGTGGTGCTGCGTCTGGAGCTGCTGAGCCTCGGGGTGCTGCATCTGGAGCTGCTGAGCCTGGGGTTTCTCCTGGTGCTGCGTCTCGGCGGGAGCCCCTCTCTCCACAGGAGTTGCGTGAGTGGTTTGCTCGCCGCTGGAGGCGTGCTGCTGGAGCTGGAGCTTCTTTGACCGTCGAGGGTGCTGGTGCCGCCGATCCCGGAGCTGCTGGGCCTGCGGGTCCTACTGGAGCTGGGGCTGCTGAGGGTGTTGGTGCTGAGACTACTGCTGTCTGTCCTGGCGGTGGTTCTGTTACTGGTGCTGCTGGAGGTCCTGCCGCAGGAGGTGTTGGTGGCGCTGGTGCTGCCGGTGAGGGTGCTAGTGCTGTCCCTGCTGAGTCTGGAGCTGCCGCGCGGCCTCGGCCGTACTTCGTTCCGCTCCTGCAGCAGGTTCTTAGTCTTTCTCCTCCGGTAGAGTGTCCACAGCCTGTCCAGTCGCAGTCACTGTTGGAGCCTTCCTCCCCACTGCCTGCTCCCTCTCCTTACACTGGTCCTACTGGAGGTCTTGCTGAGCGTCGTGAGCCTGCGTCTCGTCCCGCGTCGCCTGTTCGTGCTGCTCGCGCTAGTGGTCGCGGTTCGCGTCAGCGTCCTCCTCCTGTCCCTGGCACGCACCGGATGTCTCTGCGTCCGTCCACTGCTCCTCTGCGTGCCCCTTTGCCTTCTCCTTTTGAGTCGGACTCCCTTCGTGCTGCCAGTCCTACTGTCACGCGTCTCCTTGCTACTGTCGTCACTGACCTCTCTTTTGAGTCCACTGCTGCGTCTGCTCTGGTCGCTGAGCTCGTCGACTTTGCTGCTCGCTGTCCTCTAGACTACGCTGCTAGTCTTGTTGCTGAGTCTGCGTCTGTCTGTCCTCCGTCCGTCGGGGGTGAGTGTGCTCTTGGCACGGACGTCCTTAAGGACAGGCAGGAGGAGTTATAGTGTCTGGCTGCTGCTTCACCTCATCTCGCGTCTGTACTGCTTGCTCCTGAGGGAGACCCGGATGCACTAGACATCCCGACTCCGCGCTCTTACGCGGAGGCCGTAGAGGGTCCCTACTCCTCTCAGTGGCAGGCAGCTATGGATGCAGAGATGGCTTCCTGGAAGTCCACAGGCACCTACGTTGACGCAGTTCCCCCTCCTGGGGCGAACATCGTCAGTGGCATGTGGATCTTCCAGGTGAAGCGGCCGCCGGGCTCTCCACCTGTCTTCAAGGCGCGGTACTTGCTCGTGGCTTCAGTCAGCGGCAGGGAGTTGACTACTTTCAGACCTTCTCTCCCACCTCGAAGATGACCACTCTTCGGGTGCTGCTGCACATAGCCGCTCAGCGCGACTACGAGCTTCACTCTCTCGACTTCAGCACTGCGTTCCTGCAGGGTAGCCTGCACGAGGAGATCTGGCTGCGCCGTCCACCTGGCTTCACTGTGACTTTCCCTCCTGGCACCCAGTGGAGCCTCCGACGGCCAGTCTACGGTCTCCGCCATGCACCACGTGAGTGGCACGACACACTGAGGACTACGCTTGCGGCTCTTGGGTTTGCTCCTTCTACTGCTGACCCGTCGCTGTTTCTGCGCACCGACACTTCATTCCCGCCGTTCTACATCCTCGTGTACGTCGACGACTTGGTCTTTGCCACAGCGGACACTGCTGGACTCGCCTACGTGAAGTCCGAGCTGCTGAAGAGACACACATGCACAGACCTGGGTGAACTGGGCAACTACCTTGGCTTGCAGATCACTCGGGACAGAGCACGCCGCACCATCACCTTGACTCAGTCATACATGGTGCAGCAGGTCCTTCAGCGCTTCGGCTTCACGTACTCCTCGCCTCAGGCCACTCCTCTGTCTACTCGCCACTCACTCTCAGCTCTGCCTTCGGATGAGTCCGTAGAGTCGAGTGGCCCATACCCAGAGCTTGTTGGCTGCCTCATGTACCTGATGACCTGCACACGACCTGACCTTGCATACCCTCTGAGCATTCTTGCACGCTATGTTGCTCCTGGGAGACACCGACCAGAGCACATGGCTGCAGCGAAGAGGGTATTGCGCTACCTGTGCAGTACGTCGGGCATGGGGCTAGTGCTTGGAGGGCGGAGTCCAGTGGTCCTTACAGGCCACGCGGACGCTTCTTGGGCTGACGACCAGGCTACGCAGCGGTCGTCACAGGGTTACACCTTCAGTCTTGGTTCCGGCTCTGTCTCGTGGCGGGCTACTCGTTCGTCTTCGGTTCTCAGCTCCAGTTGTGAGGCTGAGATCTACGCCGGGGCCATGGCTGCACAGGAGCTTCGCTGGCTCACCTACCTGCTGACTGACCTTGGAGAGCCGCCTCGTTCTCCTCTAGTGCTGTACGTAGACAACAAGGCCATGCTGGCCTTGTGTCGAGAGCAGCGTCTGGAGCACAGAACGAAGCATATTGCTCTTCGCTACTTCCTTGCTTGTGAGCTACAGCAGCGTGGACAGTTGCGGCTTGCGTACGTGGCCTCTGAGGCCAACACTGCTGATGTGTTCACCAAGGCACTCGCGCCTTGTGACCATCAGCGCTTCTGCACCCAGCTGGGTCTTGTGCCTGTCTTGCCTCACTTGCTCTCCTCTTGACTTTACTTGTACTGTGACATATATATACCTGCTCTTGCTTGTCTAGTTCTATATATATATCTGTACTCTTGCATGTGAACTGGCCTCTGGCCCCGCTCTTGTGCTCGGACTGTGTGGTGACTTTGTGATCCACCCTGAGCTTTGCTTTGCGTTGCTTGACTGGTCTTGTGACCCCTTGTTCTCCCCCACTTTGCCTATGGGGGTGTGTCAGATATATATGACATAGCTGTTGTAGGCGATAGTGGGGTAGGACATATGGGGTACAGCTTTCTAGAGTTTGTATTTGTACCCAACTTTCACTTAGTCATTTTCATTCCTGTTCATTATTCTCACAAAATCATCAATACACGCACATCAACCCTCCTCTTTGTAGTTGTTAAGGATGGTTGTGTGCTTGACGTGTCAAAGTTCATAGGAGTCGCACTTGACTGCGAGGCGCTCGTAACATCAAGTATGGTCTTGATGACGCGCCCTTCCTCAAGACCAAAGTGAATCTGTCAAAACAAAGGAAAGGAGAAGCAAAGAAGGGAAGCAGGGAAGGAGAGAAAAAGTCGAAAAAAGAGATTAGAGAATGAAGGAAAGAGGAAACATAAAAAACGGATCGAAGGAAAAGAGGGAACGAGGGAAGAAATGAATGCAAGAAGGAAGTCAAGTTGAAAGAAATGAAGGTGTATATGAAATGGGAACGAAGTATAACTGGTCACAACTCATACATAAGGTTTTAGATAGTGTAGATGATAAATATAAGTGTTGGTACATAACACATCCGTTGTATATGTAATACGCTCAACTATCTTGGAGAGCCAATCCACGTACCTTTACAAGCCAACGACCTCAAAGAGTGGCCAACATGCGTTGGCGCTCCTCCGAGGGCAAAGACAGAAAGGTGGACATCTGAAGATGCGGGACCACCTTGGTCAAAATGCTCGGTTGAATAACCAAGCCATGCGCTTGAGCCGTGTATGACACTGGAAAAATAGGAAGACATAATAGCAAACCTTACTGCGAGAATACAACATGAAAGATTGTACACAAAATATATGCATACAGTACTTACCGCTCTCTTTTACGACAAGCGTGACGGTGACATCGTCAATTTGGGTGATCGACGAGGATCCATGCTCGTCGCATTCGTACTCGCGCGAGACACATGATCGAAAAACAGGCAGTCGACAAACAGAGTCCCCCGAACCACCCTTGCACACTCTTCGAGACTTGTGCAAAGGATCCTTGATTTCAGCAACGAGGGATGCTATCTTCTCCTCTTTTGTTGTCATCACGAGTGTGTCCACACTAGACATCCTGAATATGAAAAACGGGAACATTACTAACGAACGTCTTACTTATATATTGTTAATATGCACGCGTTTGTCGACTTACAGCTGCACGAGGCCGACGTCTTGTGGTTCCTCTGTGACGTGAGCATCTGTGATCTCCAATGCTCGTCGAGAGTCAAGAATGACAGCGCTGGAAAGCATTGTTGTGGTAAACAATGCTGAGTTTAGATAAACGTTGCTAATGTAAACTGGCACGTCTGTAGCATCACTGTGCTCGTCCAAGTATGTCTTACAGCACTTGTGAATCCGTGTGGCAGTGTCCCCCAAAGATACCAAGACGCTGCGAAGTGTCGAATCGTGGATGCTAGCTGTGAGCTTAGGCAATCCACCCGGCGACTCAAGCGAAGAGGCGCTGAGCCTGACAGAAATGCAAGGGATCTGGGAAGGTAGAAAAGTGAAGTCTGACATCATGAATATGAAACACATGCATTTACAATTCAGTAAGTGTCGATATAACAAATGATCATCTGCAACGTAAGAACATCAACCAAACCAGATGAGCCAAAACTAGACAGAGATTGTGCTAAGCAGTAAGTATCAGACGATTTTCAGCTGGAAACATGAAAAAGAAGTGGCATTATGGCTTAAACACAAGTACACATTTCGAACATGAACACAACAAATTCGTTCAGTGTAATAAATTTGTTCTTACCCTGGAGTCGTCTCTTGGCCCAAAAAAACTCTGGAGCGTCGGTGTGGGCACGTCCCCCACGGTCAGTTGCAAGCCTCCCTTATCCTCCACCATGTATGAACAGCGGTGTAACCAGAGCAACTGCAAATCAAGGCCTCCAATAACAAACCTGTAGAAAATCAGATGTATTAATAAGACCATTTAAGTGTATATATGTATATGCTCAAGTCTTGACTAAACGTACCAGCTAGGGTGTGCGCGCAAAGCATTGACGCGGCGAACTTGATAGACTTCCCCAATGGAAATCCCCATCAAGAACTCGTTCACTGCTCGCACATCGCATGGGCTAAATCCTGTGGTCTCAGGCCACAAGACCATCTCACTGATAGAACGCTCCACATCAAAGAGGAGAACCTTTCCTGGCGAAATCTTTCCACTGTTCTTGATGAATGAGTTCTTGGTCGACATCACCATCACCTTGAAATGGTAATCAGAGGGCCTCTCCTCTCCAAGAGCTAACCAAGACTCCATGAACTTGAACGTAACCTCAGCAGTGGCCTGCAAGTATAGCATTATACTAGTGAATGCTAAACCTGACAAAGTTAGAAGAAAGAAAGAGGGGTGAACTAGCAGAAATGGGGATACAAATAGCAAACCCTAGAAGGGTTGTACTCGCTATAGAGCACCCCACTACAGGCTAGAACATAAGATAATATTCTGACAAAACCAAGGTGGAAAATGATTATGTGTGTTTTAGCATGCGTTACGTATATTTCCATGTACACAAAGCAAACCGAAACTTGCCTGCGTACGGTTGTGCGTGTGAAAAGAAAGAACGAGGATGAAAATGACAAAGGAAAGGTTGGTACAAATACAACCCTAGAAACCTGTACCCCATATGTGCTACCCCACTATAGCCTACAGTAACTATGTCATATAAATCTGACACACCCCCATAGGCAAAGTGGGGGAGAACAAGGGGTCACAAGACCAGTCAAACAAAGCAAAGCAAAGCTCAGGGTGGATCACAAAGTCACCACACAGTCCGAGCACAAGAGCAAGGCCACAAGGCCAGTTCACATGCAGGAGTACACACATATATATATATAAAGCTAAACAAGCAAGAGCAGGTATATATATATGTGACAGTACAAGTAAAGTCAAGAGGAGAGCAAGTGAGGCAAGACAGGTACAAGACCCAGCTGGGTGCAGAAGCGCTGATGGTCACAAGGCGCGAGTGCCTTGGTGAACACATCAGCAGTGTTGGCCTCAGAGGCCACGTACGCAAGCCGCAACTGTCCACGCTGCTGCAGCTCACGAGCAAGGAAGTAGCGGAGAGCAATGTGCTTCGTTCTGTGCTCCAGGCGCTGCTCTCGACACAAGGCCAGCATGGCCTTGTTGTCTACGTACAGCACTGGAGGAGAACGAGGCGGCTCTCCAAGGTCAGTCAGCAGGTAGGTGAGCCAGCGAAGCTCCTGCGCAGCCATGGCCCCGGCGTAGATCTCAGCCTCACAACTGGAGCTGAGAACAGAAGACGAGCGAGTAGCCCGCCACGAGACAGAGCCGGACCCAAGGCTGAAGGTGTAACCCTGTGACGACTGCTGCGTAGCCTGGTCGTCAGCCCAAGAAGCGTCCGCGTGTCCCGTAAGGACCACTGGACTCCGCCCTCCAAGCACTAGCCCCATGCCCGACGTACTGCACAGGTAGCGCAACACCCTCTTCGCCGCAGCCATGTGCTCTGGTCGGTGTCTCCCAGGAGCAACATAGCGTGCAAGAATGTTAAAAGGGTATGCAAGGTCAGGCCGTGTGCAGGTCATCAGGTACATGAGGCAGCCAACAAGCTCTGGGTACGGGCCACTCGACTCTACGGACTCATTCGAAGGCAGAGCTGAGAGCGAGTGGCGAGTAGACAGAGGAGTGGCCTGAGGCGAGGAGTACGTGAAGCCGAAGCGCTGAAGGACCTGCTGCACCATGTGTGACTGAGTCAAGGTAATGGTGCGGCGTGCTCTGTCCCGAGTGATCTGCAAGCCAAGGTAGCTGCGCAGTTCACCCAGGTCTGTGCACGTGTGTCTCTTCAGCAGCTCGGACTTCACGTAGGCGAGTCCAACAGTGTCAGCTGTGGCAAAGACCAAGTCGTCGACGTACACGAGGATGTAGAACGGCGGCAGAGAAGTGTCGGTGCGCAGAAACAGCGACGGGTCAGCAGTAGAGGGAGCAAACCCAAGAGCCGCAAGCGTAGTCCTCAGTGTGTCGTGCCACTCACGCGGTGCCTGGCGGAGACCGTAGACTGACCGTCGGAGGCTCCACTGGGTGCCAGGAGGGAAAGTCCCAGTGAAGCCAGGTGGACGGCGCAGCCAGATCTCCTCGTGCAGGCTACCCTGCAAGAACGCAGTGCTGAAGTTGAGAGAGTGAAGCTCGTAGTCGCGCTGAGCGGCTATGTGCAGCAGCACCCGAAGAGTAGTCATCTTCGGGGTGGGAGAGAAGGTCTGAAAGTAGTCAACTCCCTGCCGCTGACTGAAGCCACGTGCGACGTACCGCGCCTTGAAGACAGGTGGAGAGCCCGGCGGCCGCTTCACCCTGAAGCTCCACATGCCACTGACGATGTTCGCCCCAGGAGGGGGAACCTCGTCAACGTAGGTGCCTGTGGACTTCCAGGAAGCCATCTCTGCATCCATAGCTGCCTGCCACTGAGAGGAGTAGGGACCCTCTACGGCCTTCGCGCAAGAGCGCGGAGTCGGGATGTCTAGTGCATCCGGGTCTCCCTCAGGGGCAAGTAGTACGGACGCGAGATGAGGTGAAGCAGCAGCCAGACATTGGAACTCCTCCTGCCTGTCCTTAAGGACGTCCGTGCCAAGAGCACACTCACCCCCGACGGACGGAGGACAGACAGACGCAGACTCAGCAACAAGACTAGCAGCGTAGTCTAGACGACAGCGTGTAGCAAAGTCGACGAGCTCAGCAACGAGAGCAGACGCAGCAGTAGACTCAAAGGAGGGGTCAGTGACGACAGTAGCAAGAAGACACGTGACAGT